CTCAGATTTTAATAAACAATATTCAGGTAAGAGCTTTGAACTTATACAATGGTACCTTCTGGCTTGTACACTCTGTATCATTTTCTAAATTGTGAAATGTATTTACTTATTTAAAGAAAATTAGTCAAAACCATTTTGTTCTTGTAATGTTTGCATCGACATGGGATTAGGCTATTCTGTAGCCCTGGAAAATGTGTTAAAAACATAAAATAATGTCCCTGCGAGTGCGAAGTTATTTAAATGCAGTCAGAGTTAGGTATTTCACAGGCTGGGAGTGCTCTGAAAAATACTCTTTATTTATTTATTATTATTATTTTTTTCTGAAGTATGACTGCCCACCTGCCCTCATCTAAACTTCTCTTTTGATCATCATAGGCTGTTAATTTAGAACTTTTTGTTTTATATTTTGAACGTTTCCACCCATTGAAACCATTTATTGGTAGTGTTTGATTAGATGGATTTTAAGCCTTACAGAGGTGTGTGAGTTGGAGGCACATGGTGAGTAAAAGTCACTGGATGGCCAATTCTGAGATGTCCATCACGTAAAAGTCACTGGGACTAGCCTTTTGAAATTGACTTCCTGCGAAATGGCAACTTGACACCAGTTTATATATGACGAACAAATCATCTTTAGTTCAGCATTATATTCATATCTATTTTGCCTGATGTTAGCAAACTCCATCTGTATTTCAAAATTTCATTTTAGCAAGTGCATTTAATGAAAGTCCATCTTTGTGATTGATTTTCTGTACCCTAAACTTGCACTTATAAGCAAAATTGACTCTTAATATGTTTTTTTCACCGGCAGTGAAATTTTTTTTTCAATAGTATATTTTGACAAGGACTAGAAGGGAAGTTGCCTGATAGCAAATCTGAAGAAAATCATGCTGTGAAATACGAGATTTTGTGTTCACCTTTTGTCATATTCCTGGCACCTCTTAGAATTAACATATACCTTTTCATTTTCTTATGTTTGAAAATGGCCATTCCTTGAACGGATGTCTGCTGTTGAATGATTTTCTAACGCTTCTTTTACTCCAAAATTTTAATGCTTCTTGTTTTTCTACTCCCTTTGTGTTGAGGCAGGTAGTTCGTTCTATTGCTCCTTTACTGGATGAGACGCTGAGGCCAAAACTTCTCACTCTTCTACCATGCATTTTCAGATGTGTCCGCCATTCTCATATTGCTGTGAGGTTATCTGCGTCTAGATGCATCACAGCAATCGCCAAATCAATGACTCTGGATGTCATGGGTGCGGTCATTGAGAATGCTGTTCCAATGCTAGGAGATATGACATCTGTACATGGTAGACAAGGAGCTGGTATGCTTGTTAGTTTGCTTGTGCAGGGATTGGGATTGGAACTTGTCCCTTATGCTCCTTTGTTAGTTGTTCCTCTTCTGAAGTGCATGGGTGATTGTGATCATTCTGTCAGACAGAGTGTAACACATAGTTTTGCTGCCCTTGTACCTCTTCTCCCGCTAGCTAGTAACCACTTTGAAGTATGCAGAAGTGGTAAAACTGTCATAAGAATAACATGATTTTGGTATGAAATTTAGCTTTGAACTCCAAATTCTATACTGGTTTAATAGATTAATGCTGAGTGGACATTTTTTATTGTCCCCATCCATGGTTATTCGAAAAGGTTGTTGAGGCTTGCAGAGCTTTTAAGTTGAGTTCATATCGGGGGCTATTTTATTCTGCAGATTTCTGATTCTTTCTTGTCATGTGAGATGGCGGCAGGCTTCTCTGTATATCTAGTCCAAATCATGGATTAAAACTATAATGACCTTGTTGCTTTATGACATATTTTGGAACAAAATAGAATTAAAGAAGGTGGAAAACTATAAACCAACATTGATTCAAGGTGCTGTGGCATCTAAGGTTTGCATCTGTGTTAAGAATTAAGTGAGATAATTGTTGATCTATCCTTGTTAATTAACATTTGCATTTGAGTTATTTTTTTGTCCATTCTTATCTTCATAGAAGCCATAATATAATATGGTTTGATCATTTCAACCAGTTCCACCCTTCCTAACTATGATGCAACGTATGATATTTTATAATTCTACTTTTACTCTAATGCTCCCATTTATTTCATTTAATATGATAAAATGCAGCTTGATACATTTTTTGGTTTCAGGTATCAACAAGAAGGCATAAATTGGCTAGCATTTTTAAAGCGATTTAACCATCATGGCATCTTATGTGATGATATGGGTCTAGGTAAAACCCTTCAATCATCAACAATCGTGGCATCTGATGTAGCAAAGCGCATTGCTGTTAATGCTAATGATCTACCACCATCATTAATAGTGTGCCCATCAACGCTTGTTGGGCACTGGGTGAATGAGATAGAGAAGTTTATTGAATCTTATCTTTTAGCATCACTTCAATACATCGGTTCTGCTCAAGAGCGCTTGTCTCTTCAACCACAATTTGACAAGCACAGTGTTATTGTAACATCATATGACGTAGTCCGTAAAGATATTGATTATCTCAGCCAACTTTTCTGGAACTACTGCATTTTGGACGAGGGACATATAATAAAGAACTCAAAGTCCAAAGTCACAGGTGCAGTGAAACAATTGAAGGCTCAGCACCGTCTGATACTGAGTGGGACACCAATCCAGGTTCATTATAATTTTAGCTTCGGTTGGCTAGAAATTAGCTTGCACTTTGCCTGACGAAACTTCTACCTCTAATTACAGAATAACGTGTTGGATCTTTGGTCTCTTTTTGACTTTCTCATGCCAGGATTTCTTGGAACAGAAAGACAAGTACGTGATGTAGCCTATATTTCTTTTCCATCTTTTGTTATGGTGGTTGCGTGCTTATTCCCCTCCCTCGCACAATTAAAAAAAAAAAAACACATTTATATGCATGCTCCTATGTTTTTAGTAATTTATTTATCATGATATACTCTCAGAAAATCTCTAGATGATCTTTTACTAATATCTTTGTTAGACAAAGTGGAGCAGTGTGTAAACTCTATTTCCTCTCCCTGGTTACACGGTTGTACATGTATTGATTTTCATATAATACTCAGTTGACTTCATATTACAGTTTTGTCGTGAATGCTTAGTATTATAAGAGGGTCAACAGTGTAAAGAACTTCCTTTTATAATCTGATTGTAGAAGTGATGAGAAGTGTCTCCCTATCTTCACTGCTAGAACTCAATTGAATACATCTTTTAAATAAATGAATCCCCTCTATAATAACTTAGCTTTTTGATGAGGTGGTTCAAAATCTTAACAAGCAAAGGTCCTAACTTAAACTCTCGCTGCAACCTCTTTATGAAAATTGTGCACGTGTCAGACCTTTAGGGAAAAAATGACATTGGCTTACACATGACTGGGTGTGTTGAATACAACTTGAGCTTTTAGACGAGGCAGTTTAACAAACACTTTGAGAAGTACTTTTTTTGTTTCAAGTGTTAGATCAGGAACCTAATGACAAACCCTTTGTTTCTTAAACAGTTTCAAGCCACTTATGGAAAACCACTGCTAGCTGCCAGGGATCCTAAATGTTCAGCTAAGGATGCTGAAGCTGGTGCACTTGCCATGGAAGCTCTGCACAAGCAGGTGTGTGATTCTAGTCGCATCTTTTATTTTTACCTATTGACATTTGGTTGTAGTTGTTAATTTGGTTGGATTGTCGTCTGATAGGTTATGCCTTTTCTCTTACGCCGAACAAAAGATGAAGTATTGTCTGATTTACCAGAGAAGATCATTCAGGACAGATATTGTGACCTGAGTCCTGTACAGTTGAAATTGTATGAACAATTTTCTGGTTCACATGTTAGACACGAAATCTCAAGTATGGTGAAGGTAAATGAAGATAAAGGAGAGGGACCCAAAGCATCTTCTCATGTTTTCCAGGTAAGATGGAAAGTTATTGTGAATTATGACCAAGCCATCATATTTTGTTGCCTGATGACTCTTATCAATGTTTTAGGCCCTTCAATACTTGTTAAAACTTTGTAGCCATCCATTGCTTGTCCTTGGTGAAACGATCCCGGAGTCACTCTTATCTCATCTGTCAGAACTCTTTCCCGCCAATTCCTGCACAGCTTCAGAACTCCATAAACTGCACCATTCGCCCAAACTTGTTGCCCTTCAGGAGATACTAGAAGAATGTGGAATAGGTGTCGAGGCATCAGGTTCTGAAGGCACCATTAGTGTTGTGCAGCATCGAGTTCTCATATTTGCACAACATAAGGTAACTTCTTCATCCTTTTTGTTGAATAACTTTTTCTTCTCTGTCGAGAGGGAATTCTTTAGATGCTTACCCTGCTACCATTATGAAAGTTATTAACCAGTACTATTCTATGTCGAGAGGGAATTCTTTAGATGCCTACCCTGCTACCATTATGAAAGTTATTAATCAGTACAGTGTGCTTTGCTCTGGCATGTATGCAGGCCCTTTTGGACATTATTGAAAGAGATTTGTTTCACACCCATATGAAAAGGTGAGTATTTCTTTCGTCTATATGCATCTAAATTTTATTGTGAAAGGAAAATAATCATCGATTCCTCCTATACTCATCTTATTATATTGTGGACACCATTAAGCTGCATTTACTTCTCTTATAATATATTTCATTATTCTTGTTGACACAAATAACCCAACTACCTTACCTATGACTATTGTTTTTTATCTTTCCTGGCTAGGAAGTGATGTTATTAGAGTCTGCTGTAATTGGCGTAGACTTTGTGCCTATATAGAGACTTCTCCATTTATTGTGTGTTTTATTTAATGATATGTGCATATGCTTGCATTCAATCTTTAACTTTCTTTCTAAGAAATATCTTGAAAGAGGTCTTTTTTGACATCATGTGATTTGACTGCTTTATTCTTATTTTGAGCAGCGTCACTTATTTGCGGTTGGATGGATCAGTTCAACCTGAGAAGCGCTTTGAAATTGTGAAGGCCTTTAACTCAGACCCCACAATTGATGTTCTGCTGCTCACAACTCATGGTATGACTGTTTAAGACAATATTTAAATGATATACATGTGGCCTTATCTTATAGCTTAAGCTATTAGACTAAGTGGTTCAACGTGGTATCAGTGTAGGCACATGTCCAGAGTTCAATTCTCATTGCATGTGTTGAATACTATATAAATGTTGTACATATGGTTCTAATTTAAACTTTTAGATGAAGTGGTTCAATAATGACTACATTTACAATTTTGCTTTATTGGCTTTTGGCCAACATAAAAAGCTTCTGGAACTTTAATCTCATAATTCATCATTGCAGTTGGTGGGCTTGGTTTGAACCTGACATCAGCAGATACCCTGGTTTTTATGGAGCATGACTGGAATCCCATGCGAGATCACCAGGTTTGGACTCCGTTTTCACGGCTTGATCCTAGTATGTTTAGGAACTTTTTCCAGTAAATGGTAGTTGTCTTGTTTATTTAACACAAGTTTTTTAATGTATTATTTTGTGTTCACCTGCTGCATTTGTCAGAGATATTCTGGAAATGTATTAAAAGTGCTATTAATCAAATATCAAAACCATTGATTTCCAGTCCTTATTCTTACATCTTCCACTCTAAAAGTCATTTTACTTGATCCTGTCATCTTTGATTGATTAGAACTAATTCTAAAGATGAGGAAGTCTTTGGCTGTATATTCTATGTGAGAGGCATTGTCATGGGTAGAATCCCTTGCGCTGATGTGACTGAGATAGAAGTTGCATCCTTGTCTGTGATTTTTTTATGAAGGCAAGTAGCCCTTTGTTAGTTTCATTCAATTGAATGAGTGACAGGTGTTTCTGACATACTTGCAGGCAATGGACCGAGCGCACAGGTTAGGTCAGCGGAAAGTCGTCAATGTTCACCGTCTCATCATGAGAGGTACCTTGGAAGAAAAAGTGATGAGCCTCCAAAAGTTCAAAGTGTCGATTGCTAATGCTGTCATCAATGCGGATAATGCAAGTATGAATACCATGAATACAGACCAGTTACTGGATCTATTTACAACTGCTGAAGGCAAAAAGGTATTTGCTCAGTTCACCTTCAATTTTTATTTGGTATTAATACTTTTATCTTATCATGTGACTTCATCATATCGTAGACAATTTCAGATCATGAACTATATTATTTGATCCCATTACTTTCAGACATTTCGGGTGATAAACATTCTGTGTATATATATATCTTCTTTAGGGAAGAAGAAAATCAATACAGTCAGACGAAAGCTTTGAAGGGGATAAAAAATTAACGGGCGGTGGCAAGGGACTTAAGGCCATTCTTGGTGGACTAGAGGAGCTTTGGGATCAATCACAGTACACTGAAGAATATAATCTAAACCAGTTTTTAGCAAAGCTAAATGGCTGAATAAAGCATGGGATATTAGAAGCTCAAGAGATTGTTGATCAGAGTGCAAAATAATACAATCATGTGGAAGATATTAGCTCCAGCAAGCTGCCTCCAGTGTACAAAAGTGTATATTCAGCGTACCGCCTCTCCAATTTTGGCGATTAGTGTAGTTGTCATTTCCCCTTTTCTCTTTACTATCATTTTCGTACATGCATTATATGGAGGAGGCGATTCGTAGTTGGTTGAGAGCGAGCATGACTGGGCCAGTGAATCCACATGTAGCTCCGGAAGAAGGTGATAGGACATGTAAAGTTTTGAATATTATATATACATTCAGATATTCCTGATTTTTCACAGCTATTCATATTGCTAGACTACATTTCTTTTAAATTTTTGACGATCCTATGGAATGACGACCTGATCTGAGTTGTTATTTCATTTATTTCTTATTAATTTCCACAAAGAGGTGATTATGGGATGGCTGGGAAGTAATGAAGATTTTGTTAATAGTAGATAGAATCATATAGTCGTTGACCCAAAGAGCACATTTGATTGCAATCTTGGACGAGATTGAACATTGTAATTAGAATATTATCTTTTTTTAATATTGCTCAGCAAGGTTGTTGATAGATAAAGAAAGTAGAAACAGCATTCACAGAAAAGCAAACATGAAGACGCAATGAAACTGTCTTCCTCTCATCTAATAGTGCATGATACATTTGAGTTATTAGGAACTTATGGAAACTAAATGCTAAAAATGTGAAAAATAGGGGAAAAGAAAAATGATACATGAACTGCATCATCAAAATATCCTCCAACTTTTGAAATATGATTTAATATTGTTGAATACTGTTTACCAGTGGAGTTTGTTGTTTCGACGATTCCTCTATTTTTCTGCATCTTATGAAATAAAGGAGTCTTTTATTTCTGTTAACTCGATTCCTATTAAAAATTTATGGGAGGCCAAATGATTACAAAAATGTTAGCTAATTAATCATTAACTTTTAAATTTAGATAAAAAGTTGAATAAATAAAAATTAAAAGTTATATCTATTAAAAATGTAATTGTCATTTCTCTATTAAATTATTTAATCAGTTTAACAAACATAGAAAACCAAAAAAAAAAAAAGGTTATAAAATTTGGACATGAATTTACCGTAAATTAAACTTTCCGTATTACAAATTTCTTGTTTTATCATTCTTCTTGCGTGCAATCCGTCGATGACCGGAGCTGATAAAAATACAAAAAAGATCTTAATTAGCCATAAATAAACGAAAAAAAAAAATGAAGAATTATATAAATGTGGTCGAGTAAATAGGATTCAACACCTACTGAAATATACTAATGGAAAAAAGAAACTAAACATTTCTTAATTATACTAAGTACTGTAATACCATTACTTACGAAACGTATGTAACCATATAACTGTAGTAAACGACGTACCCGCAACGTTGTGGAACTGTCCAAGATAATGTCTTGGACTCCTTTAATTTTGGTGGCAAGTCCAAATATTTTGTCCAATCTTGAAGCAAAATCTTAAGATCGTGAACTTTATTGTCCAAACCAACACAACAATTTGAATGCATTGTGCACACGAAATTTAAGTCTTTGCTGGGCTGACAGAATCCTCCAAAATAAGCCGTGTCTAAAAACTTGATTTTCAATCCAATTTCACTTATAAAGGGATCATACTTAATCTTGTTAAGTACATCTTGATCATGTTTTCTTGGATAATTTTGTCTTGATTTGTACCAAAATTTGTAAAACTGGATTGTCTGATTACTTGATTTAACATAGTTGAAACCTCCGTTGGGTGCATTGTTTAGGTCCCAAGGGTTGCCCAGAAAGTTGTCACATGCAATTTGGAAATCAGTGTCCAAATAAAAATGTGGAAATGGGTTTCGAAACCACATTATATCTGTATCCTGTATTCAAACAAAAATAATTACATATCAGTCTAAGAAATCAATATCTGTTTAAACCTCGAATGAGAAATAATATTCGAATATTAGTGTTCTCAAACGAGACGCCATCCTCCAGAAGAATGTTTATAAGGAAAAAATACCCGCACTCTTTAAACGGTGATGAAGGAACAATATGTACCGTGAAAATGAAGTTGTATCCCATGTCTAGAACAATTCGCAGAAAATCGATCCTTCTCCACATCATCTTCAAGTAGCCCGGTGACATGAAATGAGCCTCAACAGAGAAATCGACCCCGTCGGTTTTCAGAAAATAACAATTTGGGTGTAATTCCAAACAACGAGCGTATGCCTTTTGATCCAATGCAGCAACCACTAGATGCTTAAGAAGCCAAAGTGTTTGATTCCCAATTCTAAAGCTCTCAAGAAAGAGGTCAAATACAGAATTTGGTTCAGCCCATGCTTCATTTAGAGTTGTTATAAGTACAGTTTTGTTTGACATTGCTGCCCTTTTCAGTACTCCCTCCAACTCATCCTCTTCATTGCCCTAATACACATCCAAACAAATATTTAGTGATTGAATATTACTTTAAATCTTAACAGAACGATAAAAATGGATTCATGTAACTGTTCGGGTAAAGATGAAAAGAAAAATCAACGTACAAGTGCTTGACTTTTTAAGATGAAACTTCAAGACTTAATATGATATTATAGCTGGAAAAGTTTAAACAAGCAATTCGATTAGTTTAAAACTTAAACGAGTAATCGAGATCCAACGTTGATCACCATCTTAGGGGCATGTTAATCGGCAAAATTCATAAACCCTAAAACAATATAGACGACCTCAAATTCATTAGGAAGTTTATTGTATTAGAAGTTGATAATTATAGAAAAAAATTCAAAGAGGAAGAAAATGATCAATGTTCAACTTACTGAGTTTGTCGATGTATTTGCATGAGCATAAACACGAGGCAAGGAGAATGAATAGAAGCGTACTGGACTGAACTGGAGAGGATACACAGCGTGATAAAGCACGAGGCAAGCAAGAGAAACCATGGCAAACAACAATAGAGTCCTGAGAACCTGATTATGGAAGACATGATATCGCCGGTTGCCAGATTCCGGTGACTTCATCTTGCCGTTCCTTCTGACGTCTGAATCGATGATATCTGAGGAATGAAAATCATTTAGAACTTCATAGAATTTCATGAATTCCATCTTCATTATGCATGATAATAACAAGCAATTAACTTCTTATAATTTTATAAAATGGTGTTTTAATTGTGATGTACCTGGCTCAGAGAGAGAAACTACATGAATACTGTCAACCAAAGTGAGGATCCCTCCATTTATGGGCTCTGTTAAAGCGTCGTTTGGTGAGGTAGATGATAAAATATAAAACTATACTAACAAAAACGAATACGTTTCAATCATATTTATTGTACTATCTCGTAGCGCACTGTATTGCTTATCAAACATAAGGTAAACGCATTGAATTCTGGGTTGAGTAATCCTGGTTAGTCAATATAAGTTAAATTACAAGTTGAAAACAATTAGATGTTTCAATTTCTAATTAAAATTTCCCACTCCATCAGCCTCATTTGAAGTTACTACACATGGAATTCCTTCGGACATACGTTTTCATCCTTGCACTAATTTATTTTTAAAGTCTAACTAGCTTAAAGAAATTCATATTAAGAACATGAGATAATGTTATTTGTCACTTCCTACAATATTCTTTTACCCGTGATCAATTGAAGTCATAGGGTCAACTGAAAGGCCAGGTAACCATCTACTTCTTTGGAAAGATCAATCAAAACCCTCAACTCGAAAAGTCAACTTAACTTGTGCAAATTATAAAACTTCCTGTAAGAGAAAAGGATCCCACAATACTATAGTGATGGTCAATACAAGTTTGTGTGAAGACTGAAGACTCCACATAAGCGCTAATGTGAAAGCACAGGCCACATATGCGCCCAACAATGTGACATGTGGAAATTTCGTGCATTCTTTGTCGTATTGTCATCACTCTGGTCTTCACACGACACGCCCTTTGGTGAAAGTGATAAGTGTGTTTTTGCACACTTAATTACATCACAAACATGACTTAAATACAAGTAAAATAATTGAATTGTTACTTAATTTTGTCGAATTCATGCAATGTAGGTGATTCTATGGAAATAGTGGAATTCGGGAGAAAAGAGCCGAAAAGGGACCAAATTGCAATTATCTGAAAGTTGATCCGATGAACACATCAAGCAATTGATCAAGCTAAGCACCAATTGAAAGTTATAATGGAACATTGGAGCAACTAGAAACAAGAGAGGAGGTCAAGGAGTGAAGGAATGAAACTTGAGGATCAAAATGACTCAATTTAGAAGTTCACTCTACTATGCGGTCGCATAGTAGAAAACCTATGCAGTCGCGAGTAACCCTCCAGGGATTAAAAACGCCATATTTCATATACCTATGCGGTCGCATAGGTATAACCTGTGCCCGATTTTTGCAGTTTCCTTATATGATTGCAACTCCTTTGGTAACCTAATTTCGACGGGTTTAAATAGCAAATAAACATCCAGAAGCCGCACGAACGAATTGGGAGGCAAAAACATTCGTTTTGGAGAGGATTTGAAGGTAAGAACAAGGATTGATGCGAAGATTTACAAGATTTCTTCAAGTTTTGATAACCTGGTGATGTATTTTATTCAAAACTTGATAGATTTCGTTATTTTTATCATGATAGGCTAAATTTTTGCAACTAGGTGATCGATGAACCATGTAATTATTATTAAATCTTTTATTTCATGACTTTAAATTCACAGTTCGATGGGATTATTTGAATGAATTATATTGCTTTATTTATTTCCACAATTAATGTGCATTTAATTTGTTTGAATTTTGGTGGTTTAATTCTGAATTTGAGAAAATTGGATTAAACTCGACATATATAATTCATCATAGGGTCCGATAGGGGATAGAAATATACCCCTATGTCCTATGTAAATCTTTAATTGCTCACAAAAAATTTACATGCGTTCTTGTATAATTGCATCCGTCATAGAAATATAGGCTGGTGATTTATGAGAATATGTTCAATACATCTCGAGATAGAGTATTGAATAGATTTAAGAGCATTGATTTGTCAAATTTTCATTGGATTATCAAAATTGTGAAATTAGGATTTAATTAATAATTATTTGGGGATTCGTGATCCTAGTGCATTCGTTTTACATAAATTTTCATAAATTGACAATACATTTCATTTATTTTCATAACATTTCGTAATTGAGTCATTCGTTAAGTGAATTTGAGCAATTAGGGTTTGATTTGAAATTAGGGTTTTCTAATTTGGGGATTTCTCCCAAAATTAGGGTTTGATTTGAAATTAGGGTTTTTCAATTTGGAGATTTCTCCCAAAATTAGGGCTTTTAATTCTAAAATTCATCTTAAATCAATTAGTTTCGGTTAAGGTTAAAATAAATAAAATTGAACTACTCTTTCTCTGTGGGACGATA